GTCCCCACCCACCCGGACGGGAACCGCCGCGCCGCAGGGCCGTTCTCCGGGCCTGCCCAGCACCAGCTCCGGGGCCGTTCGTGCGCACGCCAGGGTGGCCGAGGGACTGGGCGGTCACGGGGGCCGCCCCAGGCCGCAATCTCCCGGTCCCGTCTCCGCGCCACAAAGCCTCCCCCTGGAGGCCGCAGCACCCCCCTGACACCTCCCGAAGGCGGAAGTGTCTGCGCAGAACTACATTTCCCGGAATTCCGCTCGCTTCAGAACTACACTTCCCACAGGGCTTTGCGACCGGCTTGCAGGATTGACAGGTGGGGGGTTTGAAGCCCCTTGGTAGCTGCCGGGGTGCGTGGTTCAGAGATGGGTGGAGCCGGTGCTTCGGGTTAAAACATGTGTGAGGGACCCTAGTCAGTTTGGTTCTGTTAGTTGAGAGTTCGCCCGTACACTCATTCCCGGTCCAGGTTGTGGGTTCGGCCCCTGGTCGGAATGCGTAGGGGAGGTAACACGAGGCAACCGATGGATGTCTCTCCCTCTCTATCACTTCCTCTCTCTATAAAAGAAAAAAAATTAAGTTAAAAATAACCATATTGCATGGTCAGTGTGGCTCAGTGGTTAAGCGTCAATCTAAGAAGCAGGAGGTCACGGTTGGATTCCCGTGAGGATACAAGCCCAGGTTCGGGGCTCTATCCCCAGTGTTGGGTGTGAAGGAGGCAGCCAACCAATGATTCTTTCTCATCATTGGTGTTTCTATCTCTCCCTCTCCCTTCCTCTCTGAAATCAATAAAAAGATACTTTAAAATATATATTTTAAAAAGTGTGTGAGCCAACACTGATGTGTTCCCAGAAGAGAACTTATCTAATCCCACAGTACTAATAAAAGGAATGAAAATAAACAAAATGAGGAATTTAGGGAGAAATTAAATGCAATTATGGAAAGAGAAAACAATGAATATAAAAGCAGGAATTAAGGAATTAAAATAAGAAAAGCTTACCTTGCCGAAACCGGTTTGGCTCAGTGGATAGAGCGTCAGCCTGCGGACTGAAAGGTCCCAGGTTCGATTCCGGTCAAGGGCATGTACCTGGGTTGCAGGCACATCGCCAGTGGGGGATGTGCAGGAGGCAGCTGATCGATGTCTCTCTCTCATCGATGTTTCTAACTCTCTATCTCTCTCCCTTCCTCTCTGTAAAAAATCAATAAAATATATTTAAAAAAAAAGAAAGAAAAGCTTACCTTGATAAATTCAGGTTTTAACAATAAAATTTTAAATACTATAAATTTTTATCCAAAAAAAGGGAGAATGAGACATTATGCTAAGTGAAATGAGTCAGGCAGAGAAAGACAAATAGTGTATGATCTCTTACATATGCATTTTCATTTTAATTCAATTCAAAGTATTTTCTAATTTCCCTGGTGATTTCTTCTTTGAATTTAGGGGCTTACTTAAAAGTGTGTTTTTTAATTTCCAAAAATCTGGAGACTTAATACATTTTTTCTGGGATTGGTTTCTTATGTCACTGTTGTAAGAAAAGGTATGATTTCAATCCTTTTAAATTTACTGTGGTCCACCATAGGATTTATCCTGGAGAATGTTGCATGTATACATAATAATTATGCATTTTTAAGTCTTTTAGTAGTGTTCTCTGTCAATTGCTTTGAGTGGATTCATGGTATTATTTGAATCTTTTCTGTTCTTGCTAATTTTGCCTAGTTGTCTGCTTTTATTTTTAAATTCTCTTTGCTCTGGCTTACTCTGTTGTTCTTTAATGACTTTTTGAGAAGTAAATACATTTAACTTGGGGTTTTTTTACTATTATAATTACTCAACATTATGAAATTTCTTGTCAACTATGCTTTAAGTTTCTCCCATAAATTCTTACATAGTGTTTACATTTTGTCTGTATTTCCATTCACTATTGAGTAGAAAGCTTTTTAAAAAATATTTTCGGCCGAAACCGGTTTGGCTCAGTGGATAGAGCGTCGGCCTGCGGACTGAAAGGTCCCAGGTTCGATTCTGGTCAAGGGCATGTACCTGGGTTGCGGGCACATCCCCAGTGGGAGATGTGCAGGAGGCAGCTGATCAATGTTTCTCTCTCATCGATGTTTCTAACTATCTCTCTCCCTTCCTTTCTGTAAAAAATCAATAAAATATATTAAAAAAAATATTTTCGGACAGAAAGCCCTGTTAAAAGTATGCTATTATAGTTTCATTGCATTGTTATGAGAGTGGGTCGCTTGATCTGTGTCGGACCGAGAGAAGTATGTTAACATCTCCTATTATGAGATGTTACTGTACTTTCCCCTTTATGAAGTTGGTAACTGTATAGCTTAGTGCGCCGATCATCAGAACTGTTTTGTAACCCTGGGAACTGCAGCCTGCAGCCTCACAGTGCCCCTCTCTCTGCTATGCCCTGTGCTCTATCTTGCTTTGACATCCAGACTTGAGCACGCCTGCCGCTCCAGCGATGCCAGCCTTCTGCCGGGGCTGCGTGACTGTGCGGAAGCTGGGGCGCAGGGCTGCCCTGGACTGACGGCCCGGACTCTCGCGGAGGCCCGCCCGCTGCCTGCCTTTCCCGCTGGGTTCCAAACCTCTGTCCCTTAGTCCCTTCCAGTCTTCGGGAAGCCGGTCCAGTTAGTTGGACGCTCCGCAGAGGATTCTGGGAGATGTAGTTTTCTTCCCGGCCTGTCCCGCCCGGCTCTAGGACGCATGACGTACTTCCGTGTGCGCCGCTCCGCGGCGGTAGCCGGTAGGGGCGCCGGCGGTGCGCCTCAAGCTTGTTGTCAGCGTTCTCCAGCGGGCGGGGGGCGTTCTGAGTGTCTGTGGCCGCGGATCCGGCCATTGCTGACCAGGCTCTGGTCCAGCGGAGCCCTCCACGGTCGGTCCCGTCGTGGACGGATCCAGCCCGGCCTCTCCTCCCGCATGAGGGCCGCGGAACGGTACGAACTCACCTCTCCGGTTCCTCTGTCCAGGCTCGGAGGTCGCCTCCCCGCGGGGGACTCAGCCCCGGAACCTCGCTCTGTAGGGGCGCGAGGTCCCTCCTGGCGGGAGGCGCGGGTGGAAGCAGCAGCGAGGCCCCGACGGTTCGGTGCCTCCCCCGCAGCCTGCACGGAACCGCGCGGGATGGCCAAGACCCGGGCAGCTGCGTGTGGGGTGAGTCGGGACTTTCTTCTTTTCAGAGCTGACGGCGCTGGGCGCGGACACGGTCATCCCTGCACGGCCCCCTCCAGGGCCTGGGCTCACGGGGTGCCCCAGACCCACCCCGCCCGGCTCTGGACCTCCGGAACCGTTGTCTTCTGGCATTTGTGTCCGGGCCTCGCCTTCCGCAGTTACACTTATTGCCGGTTGCGGACCCTGACCTCCGAGGGCAGTGAGGGTCCCGGGGCTGGGGCTGGCGGTGCAGAGCTCGGTTATGCAGGGTTCTTGTTTCCGAGGAGCTGTGGTCTGGGTGCGGGGGCGGGAGGTAATCGAGTGAACACCGGGCATAGAGGCAGGCTAATGGGGGGTGGGGATTTGGGGTGCAAAGCAGAAGGAAGCAGGTTTGGAGGGAGGGAGGGTGCGTGGGCCGCCTGGACCCACGGAGTGAGCACGAGGGGCGACTCCAGCCGTGGCTGAACGGACGTGGAGCCGGGAGATGATGCTCTCAAACTTGCCCACCCCCACGGACCAGACCCGGCCAGGGCAGCGCCGAGGGTGTTCCCGCCAGGGGAGCCCTGTTGGGAGACGCATCCCGGCACCGTGTGGTTTTTGGGTGTTAATAGGCGCTGCCTGGAGTCGGTCTGTAGCTCGGTGGGAATTCTCAACTGGAAATAAACAGATGAGAGGCGCCTGCGGTCGGGTTAGCCCCGATGTGACTGAGCAGAGCCCCGGGAAGGGTCTGGGGCAGGACTCGGAGCAGGGACAGGGAGGGAGGGCTGCGGAGGACTGCAGTGCGCGCAAAAGACAAGAAAGTTTGGAGAAGGTGTTTGTTTTCCTCCCTGTAGTTTGAGAAAAGAGTACTTAATACAGTGGCCTGTCCTCTAATTTTTTCAGATAAACTTCCTTGTCCCACTTTACTCTGTGTGTATGTATAGGATTCCTTTTACTTCCCTAGTATTTTTCTCTAGGAATATTGACCGGAGTTAATAATAAATGAGATTAGATTACAGTTTGTGCTGTTCTTGCCTGGCATTGTCTGTTTGTAGGATGCTGCGCTGTTCCCATCATTTCCTGGCTCTGCATCATGTCAGATGTGAGGGGAGTTTGCTGATCCTTGGGTCAGTGATAGGACTGGCGTGTAAATATAGTCTGAGACCATTACCTTTTGGAGTTGCTACACCTTTGGTACTATTTCAGTTTGTTGTACGAGCATTGACTAGTTGGTCTGGCTTTCCTAATTATTTCTGGGCCAATTTCGGTTAGTTTTATTTTCCCGGAAATCTTTCCATTCCTTCTGTTTTCAAATTCATGGAAATAAATTTGTAAATACAGTCAGTTCTGCCATCATGTTAGCTTTATTTTTTTATTTAATTTTTTTTAATTGGAGAGAGAGATATATATAGATATACATACATGGATCGGCTGCCTCCTGCACGGAAACTCTGACTGGGAACCAAACTGGTCACCTTTTCGTCACAGGATGAAAGGTCATCGGGGCTCAATCCACTCAGCAACACCGGCTAGGGCTCATGTGTGATTTAAAATGTGAATTTGTTTCAACATCGTGGATATCTTAGCCAACAAGGGGAGATTTCTGATTTTAGACAACTTCTTTCCACCACTTTTTAAAAAAATATATTTTTAAATTGATTTCTAAGAGGAAGGGAAGGGGAGAGAGAGAGAGAAATATCAATGATGAGAGAGAATCATTGACCGGCTGCCTCCTGCATGCCCTCAACTGGGGATTGAGCCCGCAGCTGGGGCAAGTGTCCTTGACTGGAATTGAACCTGGGACGCTTCAGTCCGCAGTCCAAGGCTCTATCCACTGAGCCAAACCAGCTAGGGCTCCACCACTTTTCAATAAGCTGCATCCCCTCTGACACCTGGACGTCAGGTCTTTTTCAAGGTAAAGTGCCATATTTATTGTAACATTTATGTATTTAACTACGAAATGTGTGTAAAACTGTTACTCCTACGTCACCTAGGGTGATTGCATCTGATTCAGTGGGGTATGTGTTATTACAGGAATCATTGTCATTCAAGGATATAGTCATGGGCTTCACCTGGGAAGAATGGCAGTTACTGGATCCTGCGCAGAAGTGCCTGTACAGGGATGTGATCCTGGAAAACTATCGCAACCTGGTGTCTATAGGTAAGTACAGCTTCTCTGTTAATAGACTCTGAGTTGTTGCCATCCCTTTTCCTTTGTTGATTTAACCTGGGGCCTCCGAAGTACTTGATGATTATGGGCATGAATTTTAGAGGTCATGTGTTCATCCCTGCGTGGCCATCACCTCCTAATTGTAAACTTTTCCCAAGTACAAATGAGCAGTGTCATGTTGTAGCTCCTGATGTCTCAATCCCTAGCAGGTTAGCCCACATCCTTTGTGATTTTCCATTAACAGGGTATCATGGTACCAAACCTGATTTAATCTTCAAGTTGGAGCAAGGAGAAGAGCCATGGATAGGAAATGCCAAAAGTTCTCATCAAAGCTGTCCAGGTGGGTGCGTGGGAGCCAGGAAGACAGGAGGTGTGGGAGCACACAGGGTGCCACTCAGGCAGCACTGGGTGTAGACACTTTTGTCTAAAGTCCCTGAACCATGGGGCGGTGGGGTCGGGAGTCCTGCTAGTTCCTCAGGTAAGGAAATGGTTGTCATTCTGCCCATGTTTGGGCTTCAGACCCCTGGCTCTGCGAGGGAGGCATGCCCTCCTTTTGTACACTCTGCTCAAATATTGTTTTCTGGGTTCGTTTCTTTCCTTCTGGCACCTTCTTTCTCTGCCTTCCTTCCCATGGTCATGGACCATCTCAGGCTTCCAGGCCTCTCACTTGGTGTCACTCATGCCTCCACTTCCCTAACATGTCTTTTCTCCTTTGCGGTCACAGTTGAATCCCTTAGAGTTTCCCCACAGTCTTTTACTTCCTTCTCTTGCCTTGACTGACTTCGGAGATTTTATTGCCGCCTTCTCTCTTCTCACTGATCACTTTGAAGTTATAACTGTTTCTTTCTTGGGCACTTTTTTTCTTTTCTCTTTAAATTCCCACTTGAGGACATACTTAGAGTAAGGGAGAGAAAGAGAGAGAGAAAACATCAATGTGAGAGAAAAACATTGATCAATTGCCTTCCATACATGCCCTGACTGAGAATTGAACCAGCAACCTTTCTGTGCTCATGTCAACACTCAGCCAACTGAGCCACTCCTGCCTGGCAGGCACTTGTCTTAGAATTCTGAAGCCTAACCTGGTCTCCATGGTATTTTAACTGATTCGATCACCTTAATAATAATTCCATGGCCCCCTTTTCCTTTTGAGTTATCCAAAGGAGTTTATTTTCCAAATTTGCCTGTTCACTCCTATAACTATTGAAAGGCTCTTCCATTCTGAAATGTTAAGCTATTTTCTCTCTCAGTGTTATAACATCAAAATTGATCTTTTCATCTTCTTTTTCTTCTGTAATCTGTTCCCAGGTCTGATGTGCTTGCAAGAGCGCGCCCCTGTACTTTCCACTCTTCATTCTCAGTGTCGGAAGTGGGGAGTAATTTCTTCTGAAATCACTGTTCTCCCTCAGTTTCCTGTTGTTATGATGATTGTTCTTGCACTTTTAGTCTTGTGTCCTTGCTCTGGGGCTCCCCTTGGGCACCCTGGTCTCTGTTGCTAATCTAGGTACTGCTTTTGTTTCTGTTGCCGTTTAACCCTTTGGAACACCTTTACTGTCTCCTGTCTTCTCAGTTGTCACCCAGATTAGAGGGATGGAGAGGGAGAGAGAGATGGAAACATTAATGATGAGAAAAAATCATTGATCAGCTGCCTTCTGCCTGACTGGGGATCGAGCTTGCAACCTGGGCATATACCCTGACTGGGAATCCAACTGTGACCAACTGGTTCATATGTCAACGCTCAACCTCTGAGCCTCCTTGGCTGCCTAGATCTGTATTCTCTCATACTTGGATAACTCAACATCTTAGCTGTATTTGAGAACTCGAATATTCCCCTTAGCTGTTGCTGCTAGATTTATGTGCTTAAGCATCCTATCACTAGTCTGAGAATATAAACAAGTATCTTAAACCTCTGGTTCAACCAAAGTAAACAATAAGGATTTATAGTATCAAATGACAAGTTGTCTGCCATAGGGCAATAACTCCACAGTAGCTTAATTCAGAAGCTTGAAGATATCAGGACCAGTGTTCTAATTATCTCCCCTTTGTCATCCCCTTTGTCACTGCTAATTTGCTACCCATTTCCACAATGGGACTTGGTTTGGTTTGATTCGGTTCCCTTCACCCTCATGCTTAGATCTCTGGCGCAGGTGCACTTGGCCAGTATATCTTTGAACCAGTGTCAGAGGCCAGAACCAGAGGGAAAGACTCACTACATGGCAGTTCTAAAACTTTCATTCTATATTAAGTTCATGTTCTGATTTAAAAATATTTTTCTGTCTAGAAGATTGGAAAGAATGGTACCAGAAGAATCAAGATGAACTTGAAAGTGTTGAGAGAAACTATGCTTGTAACACATTTGGAAAACTTCATCTGAGCAAAACCCAGGCTTCTTCAAGACAAAGACTCCATAAGTATAACACACTTGGGAAAAAAAGTTTGACACAAAAGTCAGGTTTAACCAGAAACTATCTAAGAAAGAATCCTGATAAGTTTCATGGATATGAACAATCATATTTTCTTAAGCATCAAAGAGCTCACAGTACAGAAAAAAACTGTGTATGCGGTGAATGTGGGAAAGCTTTTCGTTGTAAATCCCAGCTCATTGTTCATCTCAGAATTCATACAGGGGAGAGACCTTATGAATGCACTAAGTGTGAAAGAGCCTTCAGTGCCAAGTCAAACCTTAACGCTCACCAGAGAGTTCATACAGGAGAAAAGCCCTACTCTTGCAGTGAATGTGGCAAAGTCTTCTCTTTCAGGTCACAGCTCATTGTCCATCAGGAAATCCACACAGGAGGGAAACCTTATGGGTGCAGTGACTGTGGGAAAGCCTATAGCTGGAAGTCACAGCTTATTTTGCACCAGAGAAGTCATACAGGAGTGAAACCCTATGAATGCAGTGACTGTGGGAAGGCCTTTAGTTTGAAGTCACCATTTGTTGTGCACCAGAGAACTCACACAGGAGTGAAACCCCACAAATGCAACGAATGTGGGAAAGCCTTTAGGAGTAAGTCATACCTCCTCGTTCACATCAGAATGCACACAGGAGAGAAACCCTATCAATGCAGTGATTGTGGGAAAGCATTCAATACGAAGACACAACTCACTGTACATCAGGGAATCCACACAGGAAATAATCCTTATCAATGCAGTGAGTGTGGGAAGGCCTTCGGGAGGAAGGAACAACTCACTGCACATCTGAGAGCTCATGCAGGAGAGAAACCCTATGGATGCAGTGACTGTGGGAAGGCTTTCAGCAGCAAATCATACCTCGTTATACACAGGAGAACACACACAGGAGAGAGGCCCTATGAATGTAGTTTCTGTGAGAGAGCCTTTTGTGGGAAGTCACAGCTCATTATACATCAAAGAACTCACTCAACAGAGAAGCCCTATGAATGCAGTGAATGTGAGAAAGCCTATCCTAGGAAGGCATCACTCCAGATACACCAGAAAACTCACTCAGGAGAGAAGCCTTTCAAATGCAGTGCGTGTGGGAAAGCCTTCACACAGAAGTCCTCTCTCAGTGAGCATCAAAGAGTTCATACAGGAGAGAAACCATGGAAATGCTCTGAGTGCGGGAAATCCTTCTGTTGGAATTCAGGGCTCCGTATACATAGAAAAACTCACAAGTGAAATTAGAATGAAGCAGATGTTAGAAACATTCTAATAAAACTTGGTCCTTAGGAGACTTCAGATGATAATATAGACAATATATAAGCAGGCAGTCCTAAAAATTCACTCATATCAAATAAGTCATATAGGAGAGAAACCAATCATATTTGTAATGACTGTGCAAAAGATTTTAGAAATAAGTCATATACAAACTTGATAGATGAGAATAACTGAAGAAATTGAGCAGGAACTGTATCAAATGTGCTGGCATCATTATGAAGATGTAATTTTAAGAATTCATATTGAGAACACTTTATAAATTTATTAAATTGGGAAAGCATTTTCTCATAGAAAATGCGTTAATGGAGAGTCATATTCCAAATTTGAAGCTATGTTTTAGAGAAGAAAATAATTATAAGTGGTAGACTTTTACATGGTGGAGTATAAAGGTTTTTATTTTAATATGTAAATAAAATGTAAAGATAAGGGTCATATTCTGTAGGTTAAGGAAAATTTAGGGTGCCTTTCATGAACAGCACTGAATAGCATTTTTAAAACTATTTTTATTGACTTTTAGAAAGATGAAGGGAGAGAGAAAGACGTTGATCAGCTGCCTCCTGCATGTTCCTTAGCAGGGATTGAGCCCACAACGCGGGCATGTGCCAGCAACCTTTCAGTGCACCAGACGACGCCCAACCAGCAGCCATGCTGGCCAGGGCCTCAACAGCATTTTATAAAATTTTGTTCTTTTATTTTTCAGTGTAACTTGTTATACTTAATAGTTTGTGGAATAACATCCCCCAGTATTCTTCATGTTAAATAACTATCAGTGTTGTCTCTCTTTCTTAGCAATATAGCTAATATAATGTGGCTTTTAATAAATGAAAAGGTACGGTTCTCATTCCAAATGAGTTCGCCTATTCAGGAGTCTACATCAGTGGGTCTGGCAGTAATCACAGGGCTGCTGAAGAGAATGCATTGTAATGAACGTCGAGTATATTTTATCAGCTCAGTGCCCATTCCCCTTGTAGTTTCCTCTGCCACGTTCTTCTGTGTGTGCTTCCTTGTGGTGTCTTTTCCATTAGAGACAGGAGGCATTGTGCCCATTGTTGGGTAACAGTAGCCTCTTTTCCAGGATTTTTAATTTAATTCAATCTCACGTGAACCATAAAGGAAATGTGGGAACTCCTATGTTCTTCTCCCAGAATTCTATTCAGATAACCGGTTCCTGCTGTATTGTTATCCTAGACTAACTCTGAATACTGTCCCTTTTTGAACCTGGTTTTCTGGCTTTATGGGTGCTTCCTCGTATCTTTTTAATAAATAAATATTTTTTTCAGTTGAAGTTAAGGAGAATGAGTTTATCTTTCTTATAACTGTAGGGCTTTGATAAATTGTTGCTCCAGAGTAGTGTATAGATAACAAAATGTTAGAGAAAAGTGGGGTATGTGGTTTAGATTTTTTCCTAAAATGAGAAACTCATATTCTTGTTTACAATCCAAGATGGAAACTTTTTATCCCATAATATGAAATGGTGTTATTGTTTGCGCACACCAAAAAGTTTGTGGCCCTTGATAAGATTCTGGGAACTCTGAGGAGCTATTTCCATAGAACTTTAAATTTATGAGGAAATATGGGACAGGAGATGAGATGGATACTTCTGGCCATAGAACAAGCCTTAAAATTGAATACTGGGGTCTTACGAAAAGGAAAATGCAACCAGCTAGAAAATTAGCCAAATCTGGGATATTAGAGCATCCAAATAAATCATAACAGGTTATAACCCAAATAATAAGAATCCATATATCCATATTGATAAAGCTAGGTGGGTGAAAGTTTTATGAGAGAATATTTCATTAGTCTCAACACATCTGCCCACAGAATATTTATTAATTACAATTGGAAAAATAATTTTACAAAAGACAAATATGGCATTTATCACCTTAAGCTATCAGAATTAATATTGTCATTACTGGTACAAACATAATATTATGAAATTCTTGATATGATCTCTGAGAGTACAATATCACCTCTGTAGTATTCCTGCCAAAACTAAAAAATTGGAATCTAAATTGTGAGGAAATATCTAACAAACACAAGTTGAGATCCATTCAGCATGAAAATGGGACACTCTTTTTAAAAATATGTTGAGGTCACGAGACAAAGTCTGCTCCAGTGTAATGTAGCTAAACATATTTGACATTGGATACCAACCCCAAATTTTGTTTCTGGGACATTATCAGGACAATTGATGGAATTTGAATAAGTTCTTTGTATTAGATAAATAGTACTGCATGTATGTTACTTTCTTCAACTTGACTCAAACCCAAAGGACAAATTTATATTGTTCAACCTTATAAATATATAATATGTCTAAAATAACTCAATGTTAGAGTTTATTAATATACTAGGGGCCCGGTGCATGAAATTCGTGCACTTGGTGTGTGTTTGGGGGGAGTGTCCCTCAGCCCAGCCTGCCCACTTTCACATACTGGGAGCCCTCAGGCGTTGACCCCCATCACCCTCCAATCGCAGGATCAGCCCCTTGCCCAGGCCTGGGCAGGGGACCCTCATTTCCCCCCATCACTGG